ATATTTTGGATTCTCTTGAGTATACCATAAGAAAGACGAGGAAAAACTTCAATATAAAACTAATTGCTAGAGAGTTGATTTATAGGACAATTTATAGGAATTTTATTTTAACGATTATAAATAACGCGCATTTTACCGATGTAAGAAGACTTATTGGTACTCTCGGTAAAGAATCATTTTTATTGACAATCATTGAAACAAAAGAGGAAGATAATGCGATTTCTGTATTGACAAGTGTGGGATTAAACATCGTCCTGAAAATAAAAATAGTTTTCTGTCGTACAGCTTTTCTTTTACATAAGAAAACAAATCTAGGAAAAACTGTTGTCGTTAATAACCACGAAAACTGTTTAGATCAGGGAGAAGTCTGCTTACAAGACTCAAAATATGACAATATTATATTTGTGGTTAACACTATTATCGATAATAATATAATTGAAATAATTCGAGATATAAAACGAGAACCACGGTACAAAAAACTTCATATTTTTGATCTACATGACGTACAGGCATCGAAATTTTCAGTTCAAAATGAATTCTATTAATCACAAATGAAACTTAATCTTCGTAAAAATGTGTCAGCGCCAAATGGTTTGTGAGGCACTTACAGATGGCTGACATTGCTAGTAAGGTCTGCTTCCTCTTCGCGTTTATATGCTAAAATTAATAAATCAGGCTCATTAGTATAGATGAACAAATTACTATTAATTAATGAAAAAAATAATAGGACTGTAAATGGTAAATGTTCTGCATTTGACTTAAGTGTTTACGAATACTGGTTAAAAAACGATGTCAGTCTAGAATCACAGATATCTATTACAGAATATTCAGAGACTAATGAAAAAGGTCGTAGAGTAATGAGACTAGTTGATAATCTCACTATAAGTAAAGAAATTTCAGCCGATCCAGATTTTACTTGGATTATTCCAGACAGTTGGAGCTTCGAGGATGCTTCAACAATTCCCCAAGCCTATTTGGCAGCCTTCTGCATTTTGCATTCGGATACTTGTAAGTTTAAACTAATTAAAACTGTATTATTACATTATGGTGCTAGCGACGTAAGACAGGCTCTCATAAATTTATCCTTATCTTATAATTTTGATGTTTACACTACTTACGAAACGGAAGCAGAAAAATGGGTGATCGAGTCTATGCGACCACGTTTACCACAGTCTAATATTATCAATGTTAAAGACTATAAAATTACCATTTTTAATATGACGAAAGGCAAAGGTTTTGATTTTGTAGTTGCAAACTATTCTCTTTTAGACGATTTGGAATACTGTTTGTACATTGTTAAAATTTGTAGACATTTGGTAATGATTTATGATTTTAAAAGCCGTAATTACAATCAATTTCCACTATCTAATTTTTTACGATCCCTAAATGTATATAGCTACTGTTTACAAGACCTTATTAAGTTACCACACAAAAAAAAAGAGAATCAGCGGAATTAATGAGAAAAGCTCTACAAGCGTGTTTAAAATTATTTAGCAATGAATTGATGAAACGAATCCACAAGAAGAGGAAATACGGCAGTTTGAATATCTTCATGACTATGTTTAAAAAATTCTGTAAAATTATATAGGAATTATGTAATTTTCGTTAAGTATACGCTTACCTATCTCTAATCAGTCTTTTCGTTGTTTCCTCTTTATATATGCAATTTTTGTAATCTATTTTGGAAAAGAATAATAATATCTACTTATAGGAAAATGTATTACACGCCTTCTCCTTAGATCAATTGGTAGTGCCACTACACAATGTAAATATTACCACAAGTTTTTAGGCAATCTTTTTAATCTATACGCCGCAATTCATATCCGCGGCGCTCCGATCAAAATCCTCATTCCATTCCTTTGTGCAAAGAAACCACATTGGTAATATGTAAAGTACATATTTAGAAATAAAATATAATTGGAAATAAAAGGAAAAAGCGCCATAAAGAGAATAAAGATGTTGGAGACAGTTCAATTAGGCGATTGAAAAGAAAATTTCGTGAACTTGGGATTAAGTTAAAACGTTTGAGAGAAAAACGTAGATATAACCTTTAACTTTTGTTACAGCTGTCATATGGAAAGGTTATGCTTTAAGTCAAGTACCCTGTGAAAAAGGGAAAAGTTTCCGTCTTGCCAAAATTTTGGTCAAAAAAATGCGCATTTTTTTTTCTTTTATTAAATATTTTAGTCAAGTACCAGAGAGAGAGAGGGGAGAGAGAGAGAGAGAGAGAGAAATCACAGAAAGAAAACGAGTTTTTCTTTCTCATCATTTTACTGACGAGTGAACAAGTTTCACCAAAAGGATATCTCAAAGAGATGACTATGCTTAGTTACTTAAATTAATAAATAAGCAGTTGACAATCAAGTATCGTAAAGAAAAAAAAAATAGACATAATATTGTTGTTTTTGGTACATATAAGACCGAAAATGATTTACGATTAATATAGTGAGTTCGGCAAAGATTTTAAGGCAGGTATAAGCGAGATAAGAAATGGTAGATAAGTTAATCAGCACAATTTTACGCGATAGAGAGCCGCTTGCCTCGGCATAAAAACTTTTAGGAAATTAAGAGAAAAGCCGGGGCAAGTGAACACTTTATTTGAGGAGAAATATGGTACAAATAGACAGTGATTTGAGAATAGATAGAAGAAAGAATGAAATAACGCAACTACGGCGCGAGATACCTTTTGTCGCACGCTAAAGAGCTCTCTTACCTTCCGTCTCCAGCGCAAACCTTTAAGATTACGCAATATAATCCGGCCTGTTATCGGCCCTACGGACGCACGTTTTCCTCTGTCGCAATTTTCTCTGATTACTTGGTTGTAGCCCGTCTAGCTACAATCTTATCCCACGATGGCAGCCAGTAAACAGCTACAATTCCTTACAGGTAATTGGCACAAGCCCACACACCTTACGCCAGCCTCTCGCTTTTAGTACGCAACGCACCGTTCCCCAAATTCGCACACGCACGCTAAACTTAACAGAACAATGCCAATATGGCGAAACTCTCTTTTCCAAAACGAACCTTTTCTAAGCTATCCAGATTTTAAGAGACTACGTGCACATTCGAGCACAGGGCACAACACACCTTATCTCCTCCACGTACATCAAGGTGCTCCTGCATGCATCTCGAATGTACTTGTGCGCCTTCGCCACTCCACTAACGCCACCGCTACAAAACCTTTTTAGCGCGCAATAAAAACCGGATTTAATGCCTTAAATTCAATTCATTAAATGCCAAAATTGAACAAATTCGGTTAAAAAGGAGACAAATTGCTTAGCTTACTTGTAAATAATCTAAACTTAGCACAGCGAAAAAACTAATATTCTACAAAACAATAATAAAACCTATCTCTCGACCTATGGATCACCGTTATGGGGTATAGCAGCGAAAAGTCACATTGCCAAGCTTGAGGCTCAATAATCCATAACTCTACGCAGAATTGTGAATGCTTCACCGTACGTCCGTAACGAAAAGATAAGGAAGGACTTAAATATTCCCACGATAGAAGAAGAAATAACAAAGACAACCTGCAGATACAAAAGAAGAATTAATACGCACATAATCCCGCTAGCAAATGATAACTAAAACAAATATCCCCCCCCCCCTAAAAGGTTCCAAAGAATCTACCCAAGAGACCTAGTAAAAAATAAAATCAAAATGAAATAAATGACAATAGCGATGTTATCTCATTAGAGAAATCGTTTACGTGCTACCTTTTTTCACTTATATAACAATTTACCAAATATCTACGGACAAATTGTTAAGATGTATGGTATTATTAAAAAAAAAACTTGCGATCTTTGAATCCAACATAGTTTTTATGATATCCGTTATATTTCATCTAACTTTGTATTTATGATAAAAAAAGGAAAAAGTTTGATATTTGAAGGGCTTCTAGTACTCACCGAATCGAGTAAGAAATGTCGTATAACATGTATTTAAAATCACAACTCTATTCATGTAAATTCAATTTTATTATTTATAAACAATTGATATCGTAAGCTAGTCTCTGGGTAACATATTGAAGGTAAACAAAGGAGTTCCTTCTGAGATGTACTATTTCAAGAAATATTTTAAAGTGTACGGTAATCCATGATTTTTAAATATCAGAAATGTATAACAATAGGAAGAAAACATATCGAATATCTATGATTTGAAAGTATTAGGCCGTCAGATAAAAAGGCATCAACATTTTTGGTCCTTCGAGCCGGATAGGGAGCTTCCTCCCCACTCTTCGTCCGGCGTCTATTGTGCATACAGTCTTCTTCAACGGAGGAGAAAGAGGCAACGGAAGACTTCCGATCGAGCAACAAAGGAGGTATTGCGTCATCGCTACAAGCCGAGAAGTTTCTATTGTTCCGGTGCGTGAGTACCCTGCACGGGACACTTTATTCAGAGGATTTACGTCAGTTTTGTAATTTCTGTTGCTTGATCATTCTTCGAAGTCGTATTTTTCCCCCTCTTTTCTCTTCTTAACCCTTCTTTGCATGATTTTTTCTTTTTTTTTTAAAAAAATCAGGGTGATGTAATTAATGCTCTAGATTAAAGAAAAAATATTTAAAAAAATCCTAGTGTAAATAAAAATATGTATTATGTAAAAAACAATATGATGGAAATTTACATCATCATGCATTGTCACATATTTAGCTCAGTACTAAATAAATAAAAAAATATAGTTTACTCAATCTTCTTTATTCTTTATGATAATTTAAAAAACAATTATTATTCTTATTTAAGCACAAATTGACGCCACATTTATTACACGAAATTGTGGAATAGTCTTTACATTTGGGAAATTTGCCCCGGAGTGACCCACCTACTTTTGGCTAATGTTCAGCACCATCTTTTCTTATGTCTTTTGGAGGTGGTGGAGCTGGAGAAACTTTTCTTTTTTTTTATTGTAATTCTTCTTTTAGTACACTGGTACTACGACGCCCTCTTTTAGCTTCTTTGGTGGTTCCTCTGTTGCATAGCACAAAGGCTAATTCATTTCTGAATTAGCCCATTGTAAGCAGACTATTTTTAGGTTCACCTCTTTCTTGAGCATTTCTTTTATAAACAATCCAAGAGTTTATAATAGCTAGATAAAATAGATGAAAATAAATACGCAAATACCACTTTTTAGACCTCATTTTTATATGATTTCTGCCCAAAAAGCTATCCATGAGATCTACTCCTCCCATATGTTTATTGTACTGATGGACAATAAACGGGCAAGTAATATCAATTTTTCCTTTTGTTATCCTGTCAAATCTATTGACTTTAGTTACAGGCAATGCTTCAGAATAAGAAGATAACAGGGTTACTATCTTATTATCTTTCCAAGCAACACAACTCAAATCTATACCATCATGCACAGACACTCTTTTCTCAAAACTACCTCTAAGCACAGATTTTTTCATGAAATTTTTCTTCTCTGGAAGTTTATTATTTGGTATCCTGTTTTGTTGCACAGTTCCCACTGTGTGAATTCCTGATTTAGCTAAAAAAATACCAATGGCAAAGAGGTATAAAAATGATCAAAGTATATGATGTGGTTTTGCTTTCTTGGCACTCCTCGAAGCAAACGAACTACAACATTTCTGTTGCACCAAGATCTGGTTCATCTGGGAGTTTCTCTGTATTCTCTTGTCCAGAATATACCTCAAACTTGTGGGCATATCCCATCAAATCACAGAGAACATATAATTTGAAGCCCCATTTATGGGGCTTCTTAGGCAGATACTGTTTTAAAAAATGCCCTATTTTAGTAGAACACATCTGTTCATCCACAGAAAGTCCTTGATTCATTAGCACTGTGGCAAACCTCTCATTAAAATGCTTGATAACAGGGCGGATTTTATAAAGCCTAAAAGTAAGTAGTGAAGTTACTGCATRGTGATGTAAATTTCAATCACATAATTTTGAGAAATTTATTCACAGTGTTTTGATATAAATTGTACATAAATAACAAAAACATGAAAACGAACCTTTTTTTTACTCATTTTCATTTTTATTGTATTTTATATCTCCGTTTATTTCCAAAAAACAATTTAAAATCTCGCTCCTTTCTTCCAGTCACAACAAACAGCAGAATGACAAGTTCTAGGCCTGGTAATYCACAGTGACGTTTGCTATTTTTTGACAACTGCGTTTTGTTGTACGCAATAGTAGCTTAAAAAGYTGCCAGCAACAACAAATATACAGTACAAGGGTTTTGAGTACCTTTTTTTGTTGACTAAATATTATGATTGAAATTTCCATCATCATGCAAAGAAGGGTTAATTTCGCCTTTTGTCGTGAAAATGCCTCGTTCGAGTAGTGCACGTGGTGATGTCGAGCGCGTTGTACGGAGATTCGAATATATAAGGAAAGAATTCGTGAAGTTTCAAAAAGCATTAAGCGAGATAGATCGTACCAGCCCGCGCGATGTAGTGAAAGTAAAAATTAGAATTTCCAAAATCGATAAGGATGTGGCAATATTAAAGGAGATGGTAGAAAAAACTTCCGGTGAAGCGATGGAAACGCTGGTTGACAAAATTCATAATCATGTTGAGTCAGTCATCGATGCTAAGGCGGAAGCGGAATTGATTATTAATAGAGCTGAATCGGTAGCCACCCAAGATACAAATTCGCCTACCGCGACTCTGCTGTCTCCGGTTAGCACTACGGTTAGCAGTCCGTCCGTAGATAGTATTTACAGAATACCGGCGGTGCAATCACCTCGATTTGACGGGCAGCATGAGGAATAGCCGAGGACACGTTTCAATCTGTGATAGGAAATAATTCCGTACTTCGGGATATACAAAAGTTTGCATATTTAAAATCATGCTTATCGGGACCGGCCGCAGAGAAAATAAGAGTTCTGGAAATTACCGCGGATAATTATCCGATTGCGGGGAGGACTTTAGTCAATTGCTATGACAATCCGTTAATATTGATAAATAAGCACGTGCGAGCTATTTTGGAGGGGCCCCTGATAAACAGTGAATTTCCCTCGTCTTTAATTGCCGCGTCCGATGCGCTAAATACAAATTATAGGGCATTAGTTGCGACCAAAAAAGTGTTTGTCGATCAATTGGCCAGTACCGCACATCTTTTGCGAGAGGATCCAGCAACACGTCTTCAATGGGAACAGCGGTGCTCCCGAGATGTTTTACCGACGGTAGACAAGTTTGTGGTATTTTTACGCGATACGCGAAATGCGCTAGTAAGCGCCACGCCGGCAGAAAAGCCGAGGAGGATTGACAATAGCAGAAGGAACACGCCGTTTGGACCTGAGAGAAATTTTCGTTTAAGGAAATCGATGCGTGACGAGCTGCGTTGTAATTCTCAGCGAAATTGGCCGCGAAGTACTGACCAAAGATAAGTTCAAGTTTATTTCTTGAGTGCGACCATCTCGTGTGGCATATGCCGAGAGAAGCAATCATCCATCGGAGTGTGAGCTGTTACGGAGGGCCGAGYCTGAGGAGCGCAAGAGAATCGTGGTTAACGCCAATTTGTGCTTGAATTGTTTTCAAGCTGATTATAAGTTTGCACATGTATTAAGAAAGGCTGCTGCAAAAAAGTGCAAAGGCAGGCATTATGAGTTGTTACATGTGAAAGAGGCCGTTGCAGAAGGTTAAACGGTGTGCATCACGAGTTTGCGTATCCAGACGGTATCGGAAGTGCATGTTGCACATGTAAAGCTCAATCRCTCGCGTGCACTTGCGCTGCTGCGGCAGTGGTGCATTTGCTAGATCTTGATGGCAGACCACACGGGTGTCTTGTACTATTGGATTCGGGTTCCGAAGCGCATTTTTTAATGATTTATTGTCGGGAATTTTGTACGAATATTCAAGCAAGTCATGGACGTACCAATATTTACTTTGAAATCGCGAGCAGRAAATTGCGGTAGAATTGAAAGTTTTATTATCACCAGCTGTAACGAATCGGTTACCCTCGCAACGAATTCCGCGAGAAAAATTAGTTATGCCGACAGTGATCCAATTGATAGATCCCGACTTTCTTGAACCCGTGAATATGGCTGCGATTCTCGGTGTCGAGATTTTTACATTACTATGACGCTCAGGTCAGAGCATTGGATTGAATAAGAGTTAAATGGCACAAGGAACTGTGTTAAGATATGGCTCGTTATGAAAACAGGAGCCTCGCGTAGTTCGTGGAACGTTAATTGCCACCCAGCTACAGTAGAATTGAATTGATAATTGGAGAAATTTTGGAAGATTGAAGAAGTAACTAAGACTAGTATTAATTCGCACGAGTAAAATTTGTGCGAAGCGCACTATAGAAGCAACACGCGACGGAATGATACAGGCAGATATATAGTGAGACTGCCATTCAAGGAAGAGAATCGGTTAGGCGATTCGTACGCGAGTGCGTTGCGAAGATTACACGCGTTGCGAAGATTACACGTGTTAGAGCGATCATTATTGCGCAAGCCAGGGATTAGAAATGAGTGCATTAAATTCTTATCCGAATATGATGAACTAGGTCACATGACAAGGATAGAAGGGGGACCCCACGAAGATAGATTCTATTTACTGCATCATGCTGTATTAAAGCATACTAATCTTACGACCAAATTGCGAGTAGTGTTCGACGCGTCGACAAAAACAAGCAACGGGAAATCTTTGAATAACGTATTAATGATTGGTCCAACGATACAGGAGGATCTGTTTACACTTTTATTAAGATCTAGATCACGCGCTATCGCTATTACCGCGGACATCGCGAAGATGTATCGGCAGATAATAATGAATCCGCGCGATCGCAAATACCAAACTATACTTTGGCGTCGACAGGAAAGTGAGCCCGTGTAAGCATATAGATTAAATACAGYAACTTATGGAACCGCCTCTGCGTCGTTCTTAGCAGAGATACGCTCGACAAAGCAGTGTCTTTGTTTTTGGTGGTAGCCACGGTAGCGCTAAGATGCTTGTAAGGGCGCCTTCTTTCTTTTAGATTCAGCTCTCCCACCACATTTATTATGCCTATCACATGTATCGACAACCACGTCGTCCTCGGGCTTTTCGGTGATTGGTCCGGCATTGCATCCCGTTTTTGTATAAAGCCCAGCGCGTTCTCGCCCGTATCATCACTCGTGATTCGTCACTCGGGATTCATCGCTCGAGATTCATCTAACTTAGAAAGCTGAGACTTGCGAGAACTACTTCGAGGAGAATTATTGTATTGCGCAATACTATATCATTTAAGTTCGGCCAGCGTCAAGGGACAAATGCGGTCCTGCACGTGGCCAAAATTATTCTGATTTGTACGGATTCTTCTTCAACGTTTTAACATGGGTTTTTATTCCGAACGTCTTTTCCCTGACGAGCCAAATAAAGCGTACTTTTTAGTACTGACTGGGCTCAAATATATTAGTTATTGGTGTTTTATTTTCCTATCCTCCTTCCTATTAATAAACAATCTCGATATCACCCGTGAGGGCATTTTCGATTCACTGTACAATGCACTGAAGTACCGATTAAGGCATCGGTCGCAACAACAATTATTATGTTATAAGAAAACAGAAATGCATTTTTATTCATCTTCATGTAAAAAAACTTGTACGAAAAAAATTGAAATTTTGTCATGTGGCACGCTTGCATAAGTAATATCGGAAAAGAAAAGAAAAATAATTTTCTCACGAATATTTAAACGGTAACAACACGCGTGAGAAGCATGGAATTAGGAATTATGTATTTTAAGAATTTATCCATGTGCGTAGAATTTCGATGCAAGACTCAAACAATTCGTCAACATTTTGCACAAACCGTTCGTATTGAAGAATCAATCTAACGTACAATCCCATAACTYGATCAATATTGTTACGTGTAACAAACTTGAGAACGACAAAAAACGAAATCGGGATTGCGTTAAATCCTCGTCATTCACATCCAGCTCGAGAAGGGCTTACATTAACGAAACGATGATGGGACAAAGGAAAGCTTCGATATTGACTATCAGCGAATGGAACATCATTRAAACGAGATGTTTGTTGTGTCTAAAAGGATTTTATTTATATCGTGCTAATGGGAATATGGACAGGCGAGAAGTTTGTGTGTATCATCCCGGCGATTTGATATTTAATAATAAAGACAAGGTTAAAACTTGGACCTGTTGTAAAAATCGTGCCAGCGTTTTGGGATGCAAAACCAAGACCTCCCACATGTGGAAAAGTTTTAAGAAAAATTTTGCCAGTCCGCAATTCAATTACGTTCGTACGAAACCCAGCGAGATACAACCGAAAAATCGTATTTACGGTATATACGGTATCGATTGCGAAATAGTTACAACGCAAAACGGATTAGAATTAGCTAAAGTCAGTTTGGTCAATATACACGGACACGTTGTTTACGACGAATACGTCATACCGAGATCCGAGGTTATCGATTACAATACTAGATTCAGTGGGATAACACCTGACAAATTAGCGACAGCAACTAAAACCCTAAAAATGGTACAACAATATCTATTGGAATTCATCAAAGCCGAGACCATACTTATTGGACACGCACTTGAGAATAATCTTAAGGTTCTGCGTATGATACACTATACTTGTATTGATWCTGCGCTATTGTTAAAACATCCTGAGGATTTACCGTATAGATATAGTCTGAGAATATTATGTAAAGTACTGTTAAATAAAATCATACATAATGGTTCGCACAACTCGGTTGAAAATACTTTATCAGCGTTGGATTTAGTTCTATTTAAATTAAGAGAAGACGGATTTTAAACCACCATCTCCTCGCCCCTTATTACCCCCTTTGAGCCCCCTTCCTTTGAGTTTTATGTTATTAATGATA